AGCAGTCGAAACGTCGCGATCTACATCTCAAGTGACTACATCGTGAGACAAACGATAATACACTTTATTGAAGCAGAGGTTATTTCACAAGCGATTCAGAGCCAATTAGCGGCGATGCTGCCCAATATGATTCACGAAACACTTGCAAAGAAAAACTTCGAGGGCACTGCATCGAGCTCATAAACTTTGAACACCAGTTCAAATTCTCTTTCCCGGTTAGCAAGGTCAACACAAGGCTCAAATGATTCTTTATCTGTCCGGTCAGCCGCCGGGTCAACACGAGGCTTAAATAATGGTCACGTTAAAATCAGTGACCCGCCCTTAAAGAAAGCAAAGTTGTCAAGTGCAAACGAGGATTTCAGTGATAATATTACAATTTCCGCTGGGCGTTGGGTCGCGTCCGAGGAACTCGCTAGTTTTCTAGACGTTTTGTTTGCAGATAAACCGCTATCTGTGTACAACCGGAAACAAATTACGTTTTCGTCGTTTCAAGTTTCGTCGTCCCAATGTGGAGTCAGTATTTACTCCGGGTCTTTACGACTATTCAGGCTCCCTTGTTACTGGAGCAAAAGGAGTTGATAAAGAAGCAAAAAAACTCCAAGAGTAGCCTTGGATATTGTTGGCCCTCTAAGCATGGCCTTTGAACACATCTCCTCGTGGCAAGAAAACGAGGATGACTCAGGTTCCATTACTTTACCAACACAAGATGTAGATGGTCTGTATACATGTTTGTCCAAGGCCTTTACTCTACTGGGGTCTGTTAATGCCCAGTATAAAGTTAAAAGAAGGAAGCAGGTGTTGGATAAGCTGAACCCTCAAATGAGCTCCTTAGCTTCTGAGCCATTCCCAGATGCAGGAAAAAATTTGTTTGGCCCATCCTTTGAAGAAAAGGTGACGAAAAGGAATGAAATGGTAAAGATCCTTTCAAAGGCGACTCCCAGGAAGTCAAACATGCAGTTTTTTCGGAGAGGGACCTCCTCCCAATTCAGGCCAGGGCGAGGGGGTCAATTTCCTGGAAGATGGTCAAATCACCATCCAGGCTTCCCAACCTGAGGGAGAAGCTCATATATCAGGGGTCGGGGCCGGAGCAGGGGAAAGTCCCCGGCTGCTCAACCAGGTCAGAACTATGTTCCACCCCAAAGTTTCTAGTAGTAGTTGCAATCCAGTCAAATAGAGGTATGTTACCAGTAAAAGAGAACTTAACCTGTCCATAAGTAAAGTCGTTTTTGAGCAGTTTAGGCCTTTCTTCTGTAGAGGCTGACCACTTTCCCATAGCAGGTCGATTACAATTCTTTGTAGAAAACTGACAAGTAGTTACAAACGACTCTTGGGTACTTTCGGCTATTTCAGGGTACCATATTCCCTTTACAATCATACCACACCAGGAATGTCTTCCCTTTCACAAAGTGTCTGTAGAGGACGAAATTTTGATAGACAAAGAACTAGGAGAGCTAATAGACCATTTTACAGTTGTCTGCTCAGTGACCTGGCCTTTGTGTGGCAGCGAGGCTAGAGTTGACCTT